AAAACAGTCCTAGAGCACATAAAAAGATCCCCTTGGTGAGAAAAGGTAGACGTGTTCTAGACATTTCTTTTGGAAGGAAGATAAATTAAAACAAACAAAAAAAAAAGGAATAAAGCAACAGTTATTTCTGTCAGATGCCTTGACTGAGATTAATTTTACTTAATGAAGAAGAAAGATTATTCAAATTCCATACCTCATTCTTTTCCTAAAGCTGCACTTTAAGCAAAGGCAAAACAAAAAACCTCCCAGAACCTCCACAAATTACTTGCTGATAATTTATCTCAGGACAATTCTCAGGCTTCAAAACATACAAGCTTAGTAGTTGTTGTCGACAGCGGCACAGTGCTATCACTTCATGTGTATTCTAGAACAACGTTCATTTACCATTGGCTTCCATCCTCATAACGTCTTGCTCTCATGGGCAAAAGCCTACAGATAGAGCTGCTTAGAAAATGTAATCCTCCACCCTACACTGATCAGGACAGAGTTTAAGTCCTTCTCATGAACAGCCAATATATTATAGTTCAGTTTAGTTTCTAAAGTAATTTGAATCATTACCATTCAAAATAAATTACAAGCAGCCACATATTTTTCTACAGCTTTATTGATGCAGTCCTAGTGTGTAACTATATACCTTTATTTTGCTTATAGTTACAATGTTGCTTTACTAAGATTGGTTTTATAGTCAAGTTCATTATAGCATTCACTAAACATATTTATAAATACCATTTACTGTATAGGGCTGATCATTACAAACATTGTAAATCACTGGCATTTTTTCCTAAATAGTGCTACTTGAGGAAAGGTCACATTACTCTTTAGATATAAATTTGTAAAGGCAAATGAAGCAAATAAATTAAATTCACCTTCCAAAGAAAATGAGAATGTTAAAAATAGCGTCAGAGTCTGTATGACTCATTTAGGTCTCAGAAGAAAAATCTATGACTGGCAAAGATATCTACAATTTGATATTGTACTCCATACTTTCATTAAGGCCAAAAGAATCTTTCTGAACAACTTAAACTTGTGCATTGGTCTGAAAGATAAGGATTACTTTCAATTTGTTAGGAGTCAATTTTTTTTTACTATAAAACATACTACCTTCTAAAATATTGTAATTATGGGTTAATTATTGATAACTGAAGAAAAAATGCTAAAACTAAAAGCATGCATCACTGATACCAAATTTTAACAAGACATATTTTAATTGAAAACTGACTCAAAGGATAGTACAAAAGAGTTTCTTCTCCCTAAAGGGATTTTCAGATGCAGGCACTGGAATAATAAGGGGATCTTCTCCAATATGAGCATCACAGTAGGCCAATAAATCAGCAGCAGCCTTGGATACCTAACAGAAGAGAAGAAAGAACCATTGTAAGACTTAATTCTGAACCAATCAGCACTGCATAAATATTCTTCATATAACAAGATGTGGAAGCTTTCATAGGATAGGAATAGATCGGTTTAGAGCCCACAACTCCAAGTTTGCTTTCACTAGGCCTAATCTTCCTTATATACATTTTATCTAATGTTCTGACATGAAATTGTATTGATTTATATGATTGTTGGTTAACTGTTCCTATTCGATCAGAAGCAAGGTCAGGAGCATACACTGATGGAAACATGCATATGCTAACAGTTAGGAAGCAATATGTATTCACAGTGAAGTATGTGTTTCTGTAGAAACACTTCTGCCTCGGCTCTTAATCCCAGTCATCGGAGAAACAGAGTTCTAACGTTTTTCACACAAAGACCCTCTCTACCCTCTCCTCCTCTGGATGCAAAAAAAAAAAAAAAAAAAAAAAGGTTATTTTTTTTTTAGGTACATTAACATGAAATTAAAAAGCAATAACAAATCAGGAGAAAAACTTGATCATTATCAGTCATAGCTCCCATTTAAGCTAAATATTGCCCTTTTCAATGAATTCAGTCTAATATTTTCTGTTAGTAAGTTATTATAAGTAATGCTTTCTCACATTAATTTAAACCTGGTGATTACCTTAAGGTTTTTTGTACTTCTAAAATAAACAAAAAAAAAAAAAAAAAAGGTTATTTGTTTTTTAGGTACATTAACATGAAATTAAAAAGCAATAACAAATCAGGAGAAAAACTTGATCATTATCAGTCATAGCTCCCATTTAAGCTAAATATTGCCCTTTTCAATGAATTCAGTCTAATATTTTCTGTTAGTAAGTTATTATAAGTAATGCTTTCTCACATTAATTTAAACCTGGTGATTACCTTAAGGTTTTTTGTACTTCTAAAATAAACAATTTTCCAAAGTTTCCAAATTCAGATCCTACTTCAGGTTTACTGAGAAGTCCTACAGAAATATAACAAAACATGATAATCTTCCTGTAAAGTTTGAGAATTTTTCTATATAACCTAAAAGAAACCTGCAACTTGTTGTGTAAGTCTGTGAATGCTATTATATATGTTTTATCCAATTTGTGGAGCATTTCATCACAGAATGTTTTTTGTTTCATGGGACCAAATTCAATATAATTCTTATCAAGATATAGTCACAGTCTGCCAATGCACAAGATCAGTGTGTTGGCAGCCAAGATATTTTGCATGAAATTAAAAATGAAAACATTTCAGCTGTAGCTGAAATCTTGTAGCCTTTGCAGCTTTGTGCCATAAAAATATCGGTGACATTAGGCTCACTGGGACTCTTGTAAGTTTTTCAAGAACTTAGAATTCATATACAAAAGATTTTTGTTATGCTCAGTTAGCAAGACAATTTTTACAGCAATCTGAATCTCTTTACTTTGTTTAATTATTGCGTTTTCAGTATCATGGTAGAGACTGAGATGGGAGTCGTTATAAAAGAATGTGTTCCTCCGAACACCATGTCAGCATCTCCTTAGTCAAACACTGAGGTCAGCGTGCTTGCACAACTAGAATTTCACTACAGTAAAGAGGAAAAATAAATCTGATTTCTGGTATTTTCTAGCAGGTGTGTCATCACTCTTATGTAGCTTCCTTATACCTAGCTTGCTTTGGCAGAAGTCCATTTTGTAGTAGGCTTCAGATTAGACATATGCAGTCAGTCGGTGTTGGATCAGCATTTATACGAAATTTCAATCCATTTCCAGAAGGAAAGAACTGACTTCCTATATCTGAAATAGCCATTAAAATATGCCCTGCTAGAATTCATAAAATCACAAAATACTTATGGTTGGCATCCCAGTAGAAACTAGGATAGTTGAGGAAGCAAGGATATGTAGATTACTTAAAATTAGCTTGACTTTGAATTAAAGGGTGAGACAAGAGGGCAGGCAGAGACATTACATGTGAACAATGGATTGCTGGGCCAATACAAAGCAGAAGACTTGAGCACTAGACTGAGAAAATCAGCAGCCAGAGATAGTCAGAAGGACCAGTGCATCCTAAAAGAGAAGCAGCTCAAACAAAAAAGAGCCATAGAGACTGACTTCAAGTGTAAAGAAAGGATTTTAACTATTTCCAAAGATTCTTCAATTATATACTTGCTAAGCAATGACAAAAGGATGGAATTTACGGTGTGATGGCACAGTCTAGAGCCAGAGAGGTAGAACTGTAATGGTCAAATTTAGAAACTTGAGATTGCTATCACATTCATAATTTTCATTTAAATTTACTAGTGAATTTTATAATTTTGAATTCTCCAACCAGAGGCACAATGTAGACAGTGTACAAAATTATTATCAAGCTCAAGAAAGATCAAAAGACAGCAAAAATACTTCTCTTTGCTAATGACCTACACTGTGTCTCAGTAAAGTATAAACTAACATAGAATACATTCACTGAAGAGGAGGTTAACACGTTCCCGATAGCTTTAGGAGGAATGTACACAACAGCCTTTTGGAGAAGCATTTTCAAGTAATGACAATCCCAATTATACCCATAATTATTTAACATACACATTTTCACTTTTCTGTCGTCCTTCAAGCTCAGCCGTATCTCTCAAAAGACAATGCTATGCTCCAATTTATTAGCTGGTTCTGAACTCTCATTCAAACTGAGCAAGTCAAACTCAGACCCAGAGGTGGCCAAAAAAAGCTCAGCGACATTTTCAGTGCTATGTCACAATAAACTTCACTGCTTTAAAATCTACCAGAGAGCTACTCTAATTTTCTGGGCCCCATAAACAGAGGTTATTAAAGATGCCTGGCACGTTCATCTTCAACTATCAAGCTGCTGAATAAGTTACTCTGTTCAAGAAACCAATAATCTTTTTAAGAAGACTGATCCTGTAAGAGCAGAGAACCAATGCTGGACTTCAAGACTGATCTTCCTGTAGCTGTGTAGCTCGTTCGGCATATAGATAACCAGTATCAGCCCAAGTACATTCCTTTTTGTTGGATGGAAGAGAAGTACAGTTTCAACCATAACTCTTAAAAGGGAAAACGCCAGTAATACCATTTTTAAATGGTTTCTTTACATTTTACTGTGCTTTCATATCATGTAAGAATTTAAAAGGTTTATCACTGGTAAAAAGCACAATATAAATATTCATGTGTAACTTGTCCTCTGAAACACTGGTAGGAATGTGAAACATCACAAAGCAGAGCAAGCAGATTCTTCAACATTGCAGTGTTTAAACAGCACAAACAAATGAGTTTGCTCTTAGACAAAATACAATATGGTTTAGAGGAAAACAAACCTGCAACAAGGAACTGAGGAACATACATTTCAGTATACAAACATTCACAATGTTTGTATATTGAAACAATGTTTTCAATATACACAAATTCACAAACTGAATTCTGTACCTCCTAACCTCTATTAGGTCACGTATTTCCACGCTTAAAAAAGCGGGGAGGGGACTGGGGAGAAGAAATCCTCCTACACCGGGATTACAGTGGTTATAAAACTCAGTTACGGCCATTTCTTCACTCCAACTGAAGTAGTTCATGGTTGAGGCAGGGGAATAATGACCACTTACTCCAGAGTTAGCTGATGACACTCCAGCAGCAATGAAAACATTTCTCACAACCATGGGAACTAAAGTCAGAACTCTGGCCAAAAAAGAGCAAAATATAATGTTGCCTTCAGCATGTTTCCTACTCGGTATTATTCAAAACTACAGAGGTGGAAGACTATAGCAGAGACAGCTCTTTTAACATATGTCAGCATGCAGGGCTTGCATAATGGCCAAGAATGTGATTTGTTATTATATAAAATTACATCCTAATCATCCTATTTGTATCACGGAAGAAGTTAAATGAAGATCAGTCTATCATAGCTTGTACTCACCTGTAGCTTTTTTTGTAGATGAATGTTGCCAGACAGTTTCAGAATGGCTTTTACCAAGAATTAAAATAAAATTGTGTAATTTGAATATTCAAATTAAACTAACATACACTTATCATTTCAGCTCTCCTATGCAATACAGCTTGACGTACTGATTCAGAGTAATTTATATATACTGCATAAGTGGCTAAAAAAATCAGACTCGTTTGATTGATGAACATTAAGAGAAAATTACCATTCCATAATTTTATATTTTAAAATGCATAGATAGAAGAGCTGGAATTCATACGTATCAAGCCAATCTCACATTTTATACCATAATTTTTATTCTATGTAGTGTAAAAATACATTTGGCTGTCAAATTATTAGGAAAAAAAAAAAAAAGCCATCCCTGATGCTTTAAAGAATTAGGCTCAGGAGGACTGTGGAATTTTACCATTACATTTCAGAGTAACAGAGGTGATAAAAACAGCCAAAGTTAGAACATTATCCTGTTAGCTGCACTAATAATTATAAGCTTCAATGACAAGGGAAAATGCTGCAATTACTACATCATCTGTCTTGTCATGGATTGTGACTAATTGCTATCCTTGCTGTGAAACCCACTCTGCTTATCCTTTACATCTGAAATGAAGAGATTCACACATATTTATCAGCAGTCCCACTGCTTATCTCTTATCACTATTCAGAGCCAGTTAGGAATATTTTCTACCTGCATAAGAAAAAAAGAATAATAGCTGATACACCATGGATCTTTAATGTCAGAACACTCCTTCTCTCCTTTCTGCTTGTGAGGAGAAGATTAAACAGTGCTTTATCCTTGGGACAATTGTGATGAAGCACCAACACTATCTCTGCTTTCTCAATTTTACTGCTAATATCTCTGGAAGATATATTATTCTACTAGTCAAGAGGCCACTGTTTGATTTTGCTTGATGTCTTCTCGCGTGGAATCTGCTCCTCCCCATTTCTACTTACTTCTGCATTATAATTCTAGTCAGATTATGATCCCTCTGGGATTCTTACAGCTCACAAAAAAAAAAACTTAGCAGGAATATTCATTCCAACTACCAATGACTATACCAATACTTCCATCCTTTCCTCCCGTCT